GGAGACAGGAATAAGTTCACTTCACTTTATAGAAAATAAACAGCTGGACATCCATCAGGCAGCTTCACTTCAGTAACATCTGAACTATAATGATCTGCCCATGCACATCTCCCATCAATGAATATGACAACCACAAATATAATGTTTAAATACATCTAACATCTCTCCCTCTATTTAAATTAAATACAAAAAAACATGATACATACAAATATTGTATAATGTACGAATACATCTTTCAGTATTACCAGTGTCTCACCTGAACAGGTCACATGACGATAATATTCCCCCAATACAGACACTACGTCCTCTTCTTATGATGTCACACTCTGTAATAGAAGACTCATTTCCATAGCAACCACCTAGTGTGACTCCTCCTTCTCCCCTCTTCAACCAGAGGTTCCTCTAGATTCAGCTACAGCATTCCCACAGTCCAGCCGTCTACACACAATATCAGCCCCACCCCCTAGAACATAGAACTAACCACTTTCCTCTGTAGAAGACTTCCACTGTCCCAGAAACAGGAAGTGGTCCCATTCACCAGTCTGACTGAGAGTTCAGCTGTAAACAAGCAGAGAGGAAAACACAGTGGTGAGGACAGATTATGACAGTGCTTCTGTTATTCTAACAGCAGTAATGCTCTGTGGTTAGTGCTAGTCGTTCCATGGAACAGGACGTGTTAGTGTTGTTTAGTATTGACTGTATGGTGTGTATGGACCAAGACATTCTCCGTGTAGGATAAAGTTGACTAATACTGAACTGCTAGAATCACTTTATGCTCTACCAACCTGGCGGGGTGACACTTTGAGCCTGGAGATCTGAGGAGAAAGACAGAGACAGAGACAGAGGAGAGAGAGGGAGAGAGAGAGAGAGAGAGGGAGAGAGAGAGAGAGAGAGACAGAGGAGAATCTAACATTTTCAAGCATACAACCTAAGAAAATGAACAACAATGACAAATGGTTTGCTGAAGAATGCAAAAAAAAAAATATATTGGAGAAACCTATCCAATCAAAAACACAGAGACCCAGAAAACCTGAGCATTCACTATGGGGAGTCACTAAAATAATACAGAAATACACTACGGAAAAAGAAGGAACAGCATGTCAGAAATCAGCTCAATGTAATTAAAGAATCCATAGACTCTAACCACTTCTGGGAAAATGGGAAAACACTAAACAAACAACAACACGAAGAGTTAACTATCCATAACGGAGATGTATGGGTAAACCACTACTCCAATCTTTTTGGCCCTATAACAAAAAACAAACAGCAAAAACATATCCATTATAAAATACACATCTTAGAATCTGCTATTAAAGAATACCAGAACCCACTGGATTCTCGAATTACATTGAATGAGCTACAGGACAAAATGCAAACCCTCCAACCCAAAAAGGCCTGTGGTGTTGATGGTATCCTACATTAAATTATAGAATATACAGACCACAAATTCCAATTGGCTATACTTAAACTCTTTAACATCATCCTCAGCTCTGGCATCTTCCCCAATATTTGGAACCAATGACTGATAACCCCGATCCACAAAAGTGGGGACAAATTTGACCCCAATAACTACCGTGGGATACGCGTCAACAGCAACCTTGGGAAAAGTTGGCGTTTGGTTAGATAAACTGAGACAGCAGGTTAGATAAACTGAGACACCGTTACCAGAGTCATAATTATGCCCAATTGACAATTCAATGAAATGTAGTGTGATTAGGAAACATCTGAGGTTTTCAGAAATGCGTCATGTGTTGGGATAATATGGTTACAGATGGTTACAGAAGATGGAAATGCGTCATGTGTTGGGATAATATGGTTACAGATGGTTACAGAAGATGGAAATGCGTCATGTGTTGGGATAATATGGTTACAGATGGTTACAGAAGATGGAAATGCGTCATGTGTTGGGATAATATGGTTACAGATGGTTACAGAAGATGGAAATGCGTCATGTGTTGGGATAATATGGTTACAGATGGTTACAGAAGATGGAAATGCGTCATGTGTTGGGATAATATGGTTACAGATGGTTACAGAAGATGGAAATGCGTCATGTGTTGGGCTAATATGGTTACAGATGGTTACAGAAGATGGAAATGCGTCATGTGTTGGGCTAATATGTCGGACAGATGGTTACAGAAGATGGAAATGCGTCATGTGTTGGGCTAATATGTCGGACAGATGGTTACAGAAGATGGAAATGCGTCATGTGTTGGGCTAATATGTCGGACAGATGGTTACAGAAGATGGAAATGCGTCATGTGTTGGGCTAATATGTCGGACAGATGGTTACAGAAGATGGAAATGCAAAACGTGTCCCTGAATCTTTAGATTTTCTGAATGAACCCGACTATTGTTCTGTTTGGTGCCGTTGTACTGGAATACATGTACATTAAACAGGATATAGTATCACAAGAACCAGAGCCCTGCCTAACCTCAGTACAGGAGGTCCCTAATGTAAACTGGATCTCTGTCCTCCATTGGAAAAGACTGTCCCACTTTAGAAACGCCAAGCTACCCTACTTTAGCTAGCTATGTTCGAGACAACAACAACAACAACAACAACAACAACAACAAATACTGAAAATACATAATATCGAAACATAAAAAATTTGCAACTTTTGTATTTACTGTGATGCACCAGGACATAATATGCAAATGTGCATCCCAATACGGCACAGTGCATTATTTATGAAAGTTTTAGAACTAACAACATCAAACAGAAAGAAGAAAAAAGCTATGTCACTGATCTTACCGCGTGCTTCGCGGTGTGAGCTACCTTTTTGAAGCTTGCCCCGCCCTAACTACGATGTCACACCAATGAGGTGATGTGATTTTGATCATGTAGATCTAGTAGCCTTAACGGAGTCAGTGGAGGCTGGTGGGAGGGAGGATCTATAACGGCTCATTGTAAATGGCTGGAATGGAATAAATGGAAAGGTTTCAAAACACATCGAACATTATGGAAACCATGGAAACCACGTTTGGCTCCGTTCCATTAATTCCATTCCAGTCGTTTACAATGAGCCCCTCCACCTACAGCTCCTCCCACCAGCCTACAGCTCCTCCCACCAGCCTACAGCTCCTCCCACCAGCCTACACTGAGCGGAGTTGCCAACAACTGGATGTTCCGGTTTTCAGCAATAGAATATATTTTTTCGGCCTGAAAAGCGGATGTGGGGAACTCCGCTCAGGCATTTCTGTGACGCCTGCCATGTTAAGTTAAGGGGTTTAGTAACAATCGCTTTTATTTTGAAATAAACATTTACATTTACATTTTAGTCATTTAGCAGACGCTCTTATCCAGAGCCACTTACAGTTAGTGAATACATGTATATATATTTTTTTATACTGGCCCCCCGTGGGAATCGAACCCACAACCCTGGCGTTGCAAACACCATGCTCTATCAACTGAGCTACATCCCTGCCGGCCATTCCCTCCCCTACCCTGGACGACGCTGGGCCAATTGTGCGCCGCCCATGAGTCTCCCGGTCGCGGCTGGCTGCGACAGAGCCTGGATTCGAACCAGGATCTCTAGTGGCACAGTTAACACTGCGATGCAGTGCCTTAGACCACTGCGCCACTCAGGAGACAAAACGGGTCAGGATTAAAGCTGTCCAAGTTTATATGATGTCCCACTGTTTCTAAACTCACCCTGTATGATGGTAAAAACTCTGTTGTCTTTCTGATACAATGAAACACATTTGCTAAATACCCTTTAAAGCTGGAATCCTTAATGGTGAAAATTACTGCAAACAACGAACACTGGTTTAACAGCATCCTACCTGTGCTCCCGGAGTCCTAGCTAGCTAGCTACCAGTGTCCCCCAGGCTCCCTCCTGTGTGTACCGGAGTCCTAGCTAGCTACCAGTGTCCCCCAGGCTCCCTCCTGTGTGTACCGGAGTCCTAGCTAGCTACCAGTGTCCCCCCAGCCGCCCTCCTGTGTGTACCGGAGTCCTAGCTAGCTAGCTACCATTGTCTCCCCAGCCTCCCTCCTGTGTGTACCGGAGTCCTAGCTAGCTAGCTACCAGTGTCTCCCCAGCCCCCCTCCTGTGTGTACCGGAGTCCTAGCTAGCTAGCTACCAGTGTCCCCCCCAGCCCCTCTCCTGTGTATACCGGAGTCCTAGCTAGCTAGCTACCAGTGTCTCCCCAGCCCCCCTCCTGTGTGTACCGGAGTCCTAGCTAGCTAGCTACCAGTGTCCCCCCAGCCCCCCTCCTGTGTGTACCGGAGTCCTAGCTAGCTAGCTACCAGTGTCTCCCCAGCCCCCATCCTGTGTGTACCGGAGTCCTAGCTAGCTAGCTACCAGTGTCCCCCCAGCCCCTCTCCTGTGTATACCGGAGTCCTAGCTAGCTAGCTACCAGTGTCTCCCCAGCCCCCCTCCTGTGTGTACCGGAGTCCTAGCTAGCTAGCTACCAGTGTCTCCTCAGGCTCCTTCCTGTGTGTACCAGAGTCCTAGCTAGCTAGCTACCAGTGTCCCCCCAGCCCCTCTCCTGTGTGTACCGGAGTCCTAGCTAGCTAGCTACCAGTGTCTCCCCAGGCTCCTTCCTGTGTGTACCAGAGTCCTAGCTAGCTAGCTACCAGTGTCCCCCAGCCTCCCTCCTGTGTGTACCAGAGTCCTAGCTAGCTAGCTACCAGTGTCCCCCAGCCTCCCTCCTGTGTATACCGGAGTCCTAGCTAGGAACGCCCCAAATTGCGTGCCGCAATCACACCCTTCTCATCTCTCTTCCTCCCCCTCAGGCAGAGCGATATTTGCTACACGGTCTCTTTAAATGTGGTCACATTGGGTTGGTATCTCCGCGCATGCTCTGTAGAAAGAGGAAGCTATCGTT